CTGCGCAATCTTTGGATGGATCCTCCCTTTAGCTATGAAAAACGCATTGTTTTTTTAAGGGAGAAGATCAGTTTAGAAATATAAATAAATAAAATAAGTAGATTAGTCCTCCTCCTCCTCCTTTAAATCAACCCAATACATGATAAAACACTATTCATGGGACGTGAATATTTTCCCCCCGCATTTCAGTCTAGAACTATGAAAGAGAGATTTGTTCGAAGCCAGCTTCCATGGCCAAGGGGGGATTACAACCTGGTCTTCCCACTACAAATACATCTCCTTAACTACTAGAGCATACAGTCTTTCTCTTTCTCTCCATACATACCACACACACACACACACACACACACACGGACACATACACAGACTATACACCCAAACCTCTATCTCTGTGTTGTGTTTAAATGTGTGTGTATGTCTTGTGTGTGTGTGTGAGAGAGAGGGGGTCAGGCCCATTTTAACAGCATTATGGGCCCTGGGCAAAGCAATGTACTGAGACCCCTACGACAATTACTCACGGGTATAAAAAATTGTATAAAAATGTAAATGTTTGATAAAATTAAACATATATTTGCATCTTAGCATTAATTTAAAAATGCAGATTCGGAACTGCGGTATGATATACGATGGAACTTATTGTTCCTATGTTGTTTTTAAGTTATGTGTTTGTTTTTGTTGATGTGCTTATGTGTTTAAAATAAAAATTTATAAATACTAAAAAAAAAAAAACCATTTTAGAGCTTCATTCAGATCTAAAGATTAGGGAAACAGGAAAGGAACTAACCAGCAAACTTTCTCTTCCAGAAAACACTTCTGACTGGCAACCCACATTTTCATTTGGCCCAAATTGTTCCCATTAATCACATGAGCTCCTAATTAGTACATACCGTATTTTTCGGAGTATAAGATGCACCTTTTTTCCTCAAAAAAGAGGCTGAAAATCTGGTGTGTCTTATACTCCAAAAATACGGTAATAGGTCCAACTAAATTCCCAGCATTTCCAACTCTAGGTTTCTAGGTTCTGTGTTCCATTTCCAGTAGCTGAACTACTAATAGTTGAAGGGGGGGAAATCTTTGCTTTTTCCTGAGGCTCTGAGAGTTTTTGCTACCCACAAGGCAACTTCCTCCCTGAGAGGATCGCCAGGAATCATTCAATTGAGAGTGTCTGGAAATGGAGCAGAATCCTATGCAAACAGTTATCCAGCAAAGCGGGCAGAGCAACCCAGGCCTCAAATTCTGCACGCCTCACACTTTCCCCACACTGCTGGCACTCTTCTCTGGGGGAAAAGAGAACAAGACTGCTGGTTTTTATTTTATATTTTTGCATGGCAGCCCATCAGTTATCTGAAAACAGGATGTCAAGCTTCCAAAAAATTCGAAGAACTCGTCAGTTCACAAGAATTCACTTTCTGGTTCCAGAAAATCTAGCTTCTGAGATTATCCACAGATGCTGCATTTTGCCTTTTTTTTAAAAAAAATGGGTTGTCTAATATTTTATTTCACCAAAACAAAAAAGGAAAATGGCTTCTTAAGAAGCAGAATTTTGTTGCTAACTCCAGGTTTATAATTCTTCTTCTGTAGGGCGGAACCCTGAGTCCCGTGGTAAGCCCCAATTTGCTTAATTGGCTGGGTTGGTATCTCAAGCTAAGCCATGGTTTGCAATTACCAGAGGTCACACATCACCCCAGCAACAAGGAGATAATGCTCGGTTTGCCTTACAGCGCTGGATGACTTGGGCACAGCTCCTCCCAGGTTCCTCCCTCTGTGATTGGCAAGAGGCCACAAGTTCAGCTCAGCCTGTTGACATATGGCACGTAAAAGAGAAGCAATCTACTTCTAGCATGTTGCCCATCGAACATTTCCCCCACTAAACGCTACATCAGAGGAAGACTGGTTGCGATGTCAGTGATGGAGCACCCACATCTTCAGAAGGCTTTTAAGAGAAGGCTGGACAGCCACTTGTCTGGAATGGTAGAGGGTCTCCTGCTTGAGTAGGAGTTGCACTAAAAGATCTCTAAGGTTCCTTCCAACTCCGTTAGGTCTGTTCTGTTCTGGTTGGGCAGCCTGGGCAGAGGGGAAGATGGGAGGGAAGAGACTGCCAGTTCCTCCTCTCCCCTTAAGCAGGTGAGGTCCCTGATTCAAATCCAACCTTTGCCAGAAACTCACATGATGGCCTCAGCCTCAACTGCCCTGCCCGGCAATATGGAGATCCTAGAAACTATTCATTTCCTGGCTTGTGTCAAGGATGACTAAGAAACTGCTCTCGGCACTCAGGAAGTGCATGCACACACACATATGCCTCCTTACCCGATGCAGAGTTCTTCCAGCACATCGTTGCTTTTCAGGGCTGCCCCCAGAGCAGCTGCACCACTGTTTCCAAAGCCGTTATAGGACAGATCAAGGACTCGAAGGAATATATTCGCCTGTGGAACAAGACAGAGTTAGCAGAGCTTGGAGAAGGTCCAAAGTGGAGGGTCCACAGGAGACCAGCGCTTGCCATCTAGAGCTTCTAATCACAAGCCACAGTCTGACAGAGGGTTCCCGGGCCTTCACCCACTCCAGATTTGCTTCCGGGTTCTTTCCAAACAGGGAGCCTCTTCCCCTATCCAGGTCAGTGTTTCTCAACCTTAGCAGCATAGCTGGCTGGGGAATTCTGGGCGTTGAAGGCCACCCATCTTAAAGCTGCCACAGTTGAGGAACAATGATTTGGTTTACTGAGGAACTCCGGAAGATGAAGCGCCAAAAGAGACGCCTAGAGCGCCGCTGAAGAGCCAGTAAGTCCGTGTCAGACCGAGCCTCATTAAAATCTTGCATCAGAGCCTACCTCCAGGCTATCCGGACATCAAAAAGAACTCATATTGCTGCTCTGATAGCTTCCACTGAGTCACGCCCAGCCGCCTTGTTTGGGATAGCCCGTTCCCTCCTTAAAGGGAGGGATACGGGCACTCCCTTGCAAGGTAAGGCTGAGGAGTTTGGTCACATCCTCGCAGATAAAGTGACTCGGCTTCGGGCAAACCTGGACTCCAGTTGCGCAGAGCCAGCCGAGGTCCCGAGGGCGGGTCTTGAGCGCCATCGTTGGATTGATTTTCAGTCTGTTACCC